GGCTTAACACATGAAGTTTGTGGCTACTTAGAATAACTGTCTTACAACAGTCAGCAGAGGATTCCCCTCTACCCAGTCATTTGGGAACCAGAGGATCTGCCATCACAGGAACAGGTGGCCTCCAAAGTCAGTGTTGGGGGAGAAGAAAAGCTGGATAATCTCACTGCATATTTTTGGAGGCCAAGTTCAGAATTGGTCTGCTTTACTCACACCCACTGGCCAGAATCCAGTCACCTGGTCTCAATTTACCTGCAAGGGAAGCTGCATAGTGTCCAGGAAGAGAATAATAAAATGGAAACACAGGAGTATGAGGAGTCATGGGTGGAGGAGGTATGCTACCTCCTCAGGAAGTGCTTGGGGGCACCCAAATAGGGGAAGGAGTTCCAGCTCTCTAAAGCCCTGCTCTCCTTTTATTGGCTCTATTTTGAGCTCAGGCAGTGTTTAACTAACAGGTCCTTTCTTAATCTATTAATTTGGTCTTGATTTCCCATTTACTTGTTCCACAAATGTCAGGTTTTTATGGAGTGTTTGCTGTGTGTCACTTGCGTAACAAGGCTCCATACAATGATAACCATGGTATCATTACTTCTCTCAAGAACCTTTCATCTACTTGAAAATATAAGACAGATATGCAGAGGGACCAAAGTAATAGCACAATGAAGACGGTGTTGAACCACCTCAAAGTCATAAACAATAGGAAAAACATCATTTCACATAGAAAGCAATTGAGTGGTTAGAAGATCAGGAAGTTCAATGGTTCCTGGGAAACTGACAAGAAGTTTCCTGCACTCACCTAATGAGGACCATCCCTAAACCAAGGAGGTGACACCCTGGCTAGCCCACCAACCTCCTCTCATGTTCTTTTTTTGCCCCATATTGGTGGTAAGCACAGGCCGGTTTTTCTTCAAATGGCAATAACTAACGTCTAGAGGCAATGCCCACTTTCTGAACACGAGGGTTTTTGCTTTTAAGTCTTCTCCAAGTAAAACTTCTCTGGAAAAGATCTGAAAAAGGCTTCAGCATTTAGACATAAATGAAAAAATGTCGCTTAACTACTTCATCTGAAGGAACTATTTTAATTTTATTTGTATTTTAATAAATGTCTAATTGGTATAAATCAAAGGATCAAACCTTGATATTAGACTCAGAATTCACTGAGCTAAGTATTTTTCAGTTGGAAGGGGTGGAGAGAGTTGGATCACACTCCAACCGCTCCTGAAAATCAGGCAAAGAGATGCCTTCTTTAGCTACTCTTTAAGTTGGCGCTGATATAAAGAGACGTTCTATCTAGTACAGTTCCTAACTGTCTGTTGCCAGACCATAACTGATCTCCCTTGGCTCGGCCATGCTGGAGGGAGGTCACAGGGTACCCACACATCTCATAATGGCCTCCTTTGTAAAGCTAAACAAATATATTCCTCTGGCTTGCAAAGCTACATCATGCAACTGAGTTTTTACACACATATTCATATGCATTTACACTCTGCTGCTCACAGTAATGTGCCCACATCCCCACTGGACGACTGGACAGAGGCAAGCAAGAAACAGTGACAGTCCTCGTACATCTTAGGAGCCTGATAATCCCTAGGCTTACACTGTGAGCTTTCACAGCCAGAGTCAGCTGTATGCCCAACTGGGACTCCATCCTGTCCCAGGAGTCGGAAGATTCTGGGTGTTGTCATCATTCAAACCGTAGGCAAGAATCATATTCAATTCTTGTGTATATTTTTGAAAATCAGATACTCAAAGGGCATCCTGGACCATGTATGAAATGATGACCCCAAGTAAGATTTAATAGTAAGTCAAGGTTTAAAATGCATTTACTAGAAAAGTACTGAGGGGATGTAAAAGGAATCTGTGTTCTGAGACAGAGAACTTTCCTGTGACCCAGGTTTGCCATCCACCATCCATGAACTTGAGCAATAAGCTCAGACTGCTCTCATCTTATGTGCAAGAGGAGTCTGGAGTTTAAACAAAAATATGATATTTTAATTGATAGGCAATAATTGTCCCTATTTATGGGATGCAGAGTAAAATTTCAAAACCTGCACACCGTGTAGAGTAATGGTAGGAGCAGAACTGGCATATCCATTAGGAGCAGAACTGGCATATCCATCATCTAAAACATTAATGATTTCTTTGTGTCAGGGAAATTAAAAATCCTCTCTACTAGCTTTTTTGAAATATGCAATTAAATATTATCAACCATAGTTATCCTCCTCTGTGCTGCAGAACATTAGAATTGTTGTTCCAATCTGAATATTTTTTTTCAAGTTTTTATGCATACTCTCTGTTTTTCTTCTTTCCCCCCTAAGACTGCTGTAGCAAAGTGCCACAAGCGAGACAGTCTAGAGAAAGGGATTCATTCCGCACAGTTCTGGAGATAGAAGTATGAGATCCAACTCGGCAGAGTTGATTTCTTCTGAGGGAATGACCTACTCTATGCATCTCGCGTGGCTCCTGGTGGTTTCCTGCAATCTGTGGCATTGCTTGGTTTGTAAATGCCTTGCTCTGATGCCACACGATGTGCATGGATGTCTCTGTGTCCAGTGTCCCCTTTGTATAAGAATAGAGTCGTACTGGATTAAGGTCCACCCCAACAATTTCATCCTAACTTGATCACCTATAAAGACCCTATTTCTAAACCAGGTCATACAGGCACTAGAGTTAGGACTTTGACATCTTTTTGTGGGGGACACAATTCAGTCCATAACACTATGATTCCAGAACCAGTGGGCATGGCCCTGACAGCTCTCAAGCTAGGCTCCTCTCTGCCATCAGCTGATAATTGACCTTCCTGTTTGTCTATGGAAACACAGAGAGCACAGACTTGGAGGACAGATGAAACCCAATCCTGATGACCCTTTCCAACCGTGTGACACCAGACAAGTCGCTTCACCTCTCTGAGCTTTTGTTTCTTTATCTATAACATGGGGACGATAGTTTGCTGAGAGAAGTCAGTGAGCTAAGCCAGACAATTACTCAGCTGACACATGACAAGTGACCATATGTTATGACATTGTTATTTATTCCTTTTGAGTCAAGGAGAGGATGGGTCAGGGATTCCTAGCCCTGGCTGCATGTCAGAATCATCTGGGGAAACTTTGCAAAAACTCCTGGTGCCCCAGCCCCTTAGAGATTCTGACTGAATTGGTCTGGGATTGGACCCAAGCACTAGTATTTTTAGAAGCTTCTGGTTTACTTTAATTTAGAACCAGGATTGAGAATTACTAGAATGGATGGCAGGAGAGACACACTAATGGAAAGTCTCACTGTGGTTGGGAGTCAGAAAAGAGTGATTTGCAGCTACGCATGGCCAGACGGTCCACACTGTGGAAGATGCTGGATGGTACCAGTCAGAGGAGGCTCTTGGAAAACTTGTGAATTAGGTGACCTAGTTTTCAGAACAGTTTTGTGCTTGATGACATTTTCTTTCAGGACTCCCCGAGGAGGAGCATCCCACAGAGGCACTGCCCGGGGCTTTTCTTCTGGTCCATAGCCAAGCTCCCTCCGCTTAGTGTCCGTTTGTCTGTGCTCCCCTGCCTTCAGTCCCATGTCACGGGTGTGAATGAAATCTCCGGGAAGAGTCAGTGTTGGCCGGGAGCTTCCCAGAGCTTCCAATGCCTTGAACAGTGCTCATCACAGAACTCAAAGAATCCTCCAAGGAGGAAATTCAGGCCTGCATCTCCCCCCAGACTCAGAACTAGGTTGGGACTGGCTGCTTTGGGTAAGCATGACTCTCAAGGCCCCTGTACTTGTGGCCTGGGGAGTTCTGTTTCGCAGAAGAACGGTGAGTCCATTGCCAGCCCCAGACCCTTCCTATGTGGAAGTGTGGAATCTGGAGGCAGCTGTTTGGGAAATGGTGGAGTGTCAGGACTCGAATTTGTGTTTTGGCTAGTTCAGGGCACCTCTAGCTTCTCAGTCCCCTTTGCTGAATGAGGAGGGCAGCTCTGAGCAGCCCTCCCTACAGGTCTCTTTGTCAGCAGCCCTGGCTTCTCCAAGCCTTGGTTTTCTTCCAGTGCCACCCTTGTCCACCTAGCACCAGACACTTGCCACTCATGTTCTTTAAAGTCCCGAGGTCTCTGCACTGTTCTTGGGTGAAGGCCAGTAGCTTTTGGTTCAATGAATTAATAAATAATAGCAAAATGAAATGATATTTAAATAGAAGCAATTCTTAATTACAAGAGCTGTGTAAATCCTCTTCATGTATTATTTCAAAGAGATTAGGAAGATCCATTTGCTCTTAGGGCAGAATTAATAAAATAAAATTGCAACTAAAATAAAGGAAATGATAATTCTCTCAATTTTGATATGTTTGGAAAAGATCATTTGATTTGATGCTTTCTGTTTCTTTGATATTTTAATCAAGAACATGTCAGAAGGAAGAGAAGCCAGAGACAATTTTTTTCTTAACACAAGGCTGGCAAAAAAGGACTTAACTTTGGCTTTTGGAAAATCAAGGGAAAAGGAAGTACAGCCCAGGATGGGGCAATACCTCTGTTAAACCCAGAGATTCCGCACCTGAATTCAGTTCAGTGTTTTATAGTCAGCCAATTGCCTGCCCTTTGCTACTGGTATCTGGAAGGGGAAATGACTTGCTTTCAGTGGATCAAGGTGCTATCTGTACATTTAGGGAGCAAGAGTTCTCTCAATTGACCTGAATGGATTCCTGCTGGCGTTTCAGACAGAATTGATGCAGTTAAACCAGAATTTCCTGGCAGGCACAAGGGTAGGTTTTTCCAAAAGTCATTTTAGACCACGAATGCACAGCCTTTCCATGTCCAATCATGAAAGCAAACCACTGGACACACGCTCTCTGTTTCCAGCTGGTTGTGTATGTTTCCTTCACACTTTAACAAAAACGTGCCAAGGTGTGACATTTATGAACTCCACCAACTGGGAACTGTGTGCACAAATCCTTCCTGCCTGCGGTGTGGGAAGTGATGAATGGGGGCTGTTCTGCCTGGGGAGGAGGGCTGCTGTCACTCTGGCATGCCTGCAGCCTTATTTATTACACACCAAAGTATAAAACCACCCCGCCGGCTGCAGCTCTCATCTGCAGCCCTGGCATTTGCCCGAGGAGACCAGGCGCCTGGAGCCCCCACCGTCTGCCCAAGGAGGCTCTGTGGCTCTCTTGAGAATCATGCTCCGGAGACAGCTCGTCCRTTGGCACCTGTTGGCTTTGCTTTTCCTCCCTTTTTGCCTGTGTCAAGATGAATACATGGAGGTGAGCGGAAGAGCTAATAAAGTGGTGGCGAGGATAGTGCAGAGCCACCAGCAGACTGGCCGTAGCGGCTCCAGGAGGGAGAGAGTGAGAGAGCGGAGCCATCCTAAAACTGGGACTGTGGATAATAACACTTCTACAGACCTAAAACCCCTGAGACCAGATGAGCTACCACACCCCGAGGTAGATGACCTAGCCCAGATCACCCGGTTCTGGGGCCAGGTACTCCAAATTCTCTTTTAAGGATTTATATGAAAGTTTAATGACTGCTACTGTTGTTTTGGCTAAGATTCTTAGGATCTGTGCTTGAGAGCAGTTTGCTAAGCTGCCTCTGGGTCTCTCTCTGGGTTGCTCTGGGATACAAGGGGGACTGTTAGTTTCTAGTAAGCAGATGTGCTGGGAGAGTGGCTGTAGCATCGCTCCATTAGAAAGGGGACCCTGGGCAGCCTGCTTCCTGCTCTGCTGGGAATTGATTTCTTTCTTGCTGAAAGTACTGATCTGTGCAGATAGACACATTGCTGTAGGTAATTACTGCTAATCCCAAGAGAGTTAGACTCAATCCTTCCCAGCAGGGAGAAGCTGCTTTTTGAGTTTGCCAAAAACAAAGTTTGTTTTTATTTTTAAGATTAATTTCTAAATTTACTGTGACATTTCAGGCCAGTCTCATTCGATTATAGCATTCTAAGTTGCTAAGCCTCTTTGGCTTTTTTTTTTCTTAAATCAGGGAGTTAAAACCAAAAAAGATTGGTTACAAAGTTACAAAGTATGTAGCATAATTTGTTGCTTCACAGGGGACTTGGTTTATTTCTCAAGGCATAARTTCAGCATAAAATATCTGTTAAGTCTTTTAGGTAGCATGAGAGTGAATTAAAGTTTCAGCATAGTGAATTGCTCATTGGTGAAGCTCAATTTAATTTAAACACTAAGAACTGGAAGAAACAGATTGTGATTTACCTCTGAAGCTTGCAGTACGTGGAAATCAGATAGAGTTGGTGGTGGCAGGAAGAGTTACTTAGAATCTATGATCTTTGAACCAATAGATTTTACAATAAGAACTGTTCGTTTTTATGCATTGAATAGGCCCTGAAATTTTTTGTGTAGTTGAACTCTAAACCCATCCTATCACAGACTGAGAAGTTTGGATTGATTATTTGGTTATATGATTGGATCAGGATCATACTCAGAATCAGCAACAGATCTGGGACTCACCTGGCACGTCTAAGTGGACACATAATACAGTTTCCCAAATTGTTCTGTGGGGTGGTATCAAGGAGAAATTGCTTCTTTAATGATCCACAGAAGAAATTATTGTGTCTAAAAATGCCACTTTTAGAGATTGCCCTTTCTTCTGATAGCTTTTGTCTGAGGGGTAATTAATGCTAATTTGTGTTTTCCTTAATGGTGAAGGCATTTGAACTTTTGTCTAAGACCTGATATGGACTTTCCATCCACAGGGATGGTGTCCTTCCTGGAGGTGACATTGTGAGCCCCAGGGACAGCAGAAGGCAATGATGAGTTCTCATCAGTTGTTATTTCCTGGCATCCAACACTCAGGAGGCCAATGACAACCCACCTTCTAGTCCTGGGTTTCTAAAGTACTTTCAAGCCAACCCCCAACATCTCTAAGGGTATTGAGAGCCACTGATAATCTGGAAGTTTTCAGTACAAAACTCTTCTTTCAATAGATATGGATGCCCACACTKAATCTAGTATTATACTATGTTCTTACTACTTTCCCTACATTTTCTTTTTTTTCATTTTTATTATTATTAKTAGTATTATTATTTATTTTTTTTTACATACATGACAAGAATGGAATGCAGTACACTCATTATTACCCATATACAGCACAATTTTTCATAACTCTGTATATAAAGTATGTTCATGCCAAATTATGCCATTATACATGTACTCTTTTTTTACATTACAATTCTTTTTTTTTAATATTTATTTTTTAGTTTTTGGTGGACACAACATCTTTGTTTGTATGTGGTGCTGAGGATCGAACCCGGGCCGCACACATGCCAGGCAAGYGCGCTGCCGCTTGAGCCAATTCTTAATACACATATATACCACAATTTTTCATATCTCTGTTTGTATATAAAGTATATTGATACCAAATTCACGTCWTCATACATGTACTTTGTATAATGATGACCATCACATTCCACCATCCTTGCTATTCCCCTTCCCCCTCCCTTTCTCTCCCACCCCTCTTCCCTATCTAGAAAAAATCTTCCTCCCATGCTCTCCCTCCCTACCCCACTTTGAGCCACCCCCCTTATGTCAGAGAAGACATTCGGCATTTGATTTTGGGGGATTGGCTAACTTTCTATCCTTTTCTCTTAATTTTTCTCTTTCTGCATTCATTCCTCCCCCAAGCATCAGGCATATAAATACACTATCTCCAGCTATCCCAAAGGGCTCTAGTGGGGATACCTTTTTTTTGTTAATTAATTAATTCATTAAGCCTGATCAAACCAATGTGAAAAGCAAGGTCAAAAGGCAATTGGGAGAAAAAAATGTCGGAACAGTGTTGGTCCCTGCAGTGGATCTGAAAAGATGACACAAAGAAGATAGCCAGCCACGGCAGGGATTAAAGTTTTGTGTGTGCCAGGGGGTGTAGAGACTTGAGGGTGCATCTGAGGAGCTGGGTGTGGCTGGAGCTCTGGAGTGGTAGGAGGAAGACATCAGATGGTCTAAGAGTGATGGAGCTTAKACTTTGTTACCAAAATATTGTTTGTCTTTTCATAGCAGGGCAGTGAGGTCATTAGATTTGTGTTGTAGAAAGATAACTGGCTGCAGAGTTCACGGAGGCTTCCAGGGGGCAGAGATCTGGGCAGACTCTATCTTGGTTTCCTGGCCTTTCTTCTCCACAGCCTCTTTGTCAGGATCAGTCATCGATCTCTCATCCTCTTCCTGAACAACCATTTCTCCTTCCCATTTCCCTTCCCTTTCTTATTTTTCCCTTTTCTTTGGGTTGAAGAAGAACTTGGACTTTCTTTCTCAGAAATCCTTCTGAAGAGCTGCCTCTTGGGCCCCATCCATGAAATAGGTGGAACTGTTCTTAGAGATCCCTCGTTTCCTCTCTTGCTGCTTATTTGGATGTCTTCAGTGTTCAAATTCTGCCTGATTTTGGAAAGGGGGTGATAAACTTAAGAGGAAAGAGAAGGCATAGCAACTTCCTATGCGTAATTCTCCTTTTCTGAGGGGAAAACGTCAGATTCAACACATCCTATTTAACTTGTTTCAAGGGCCCGCCTTACTGGCTTTGTTTCATTTGAGTGAACTGTGGAAGACAGAAGGACAGAAGGTGGCCATGTGAAGAAATGACAGAAGAAGCTTCTCAGGAGGTGTCTGGCTATCAGAAGGCTCTCAGTGAATTACTGGTGGTCTATGCTCTTACAGTGCCCCAGGTAGCTTGCCCTTGCACTAGGAATTCTACTTAACTCTGGTAGTGAGCAACCCGTCTCCAGTGCCCAGATACTAGACATTTAAAAAAAAAAAACACAAAACACTTTCAAAGTTATTATTTGAGCTATTTGGGAAAAACTTTAGCATTTTTTCTGTATCTTACAGTTGGAAACAAAATTCATGACCAACTCTTGCAATCCCAAATAGACAAGAAAATTGATGTCTGGGAGCCGTGATTTCTCTAGGGTCATGCAGAACTGGGAAGAGAAATCTTGTTCCAGTCCAGTGGTTGTTCTGACATTCTTAAGCATSTCAGTATTTCCATTCTACTCTTACACAAATGGTTCCACTTCAGGATTTTCCCTTTTCCCCTCCTCTCTTCTCCATCCCTGAAATCCATCATTGGCAGAGTCCTGGATTTCCTGGGGTTTATAAGCTGTATTTTACATTAGCAAAACCATACAGAAAATGTGGACCGCTTGCTTATTTCTCAGATTGCATCTGGGTTTAGAAGGTGGGGAGGAGCTGTGATGTTTTTACTTTCYAAATCTCCCAAAATCCTTCATCTCAGGCCAATTTTCGTTCATTTTCTTCCCTCCACCATTTTGACAAAAGGTCATCATAGACTCTATGCCTTCCCAGGGTTGGCCCTGGTATGCTGAGGACGAGGCTAGGAGTTACTCCAAATCAAAGCTCCTGATCTCTAAATTCTTGGGGTCTGTTCTTTGGTAGGAGACTTCTTGGACCACAAATGCTATTCTGTATTTTTTTCCTGAAAAGCTTTGTGGAAAACTTTAGAAAAAAGGGAGGACAAAGACCAAATTCATTTTTTTGTTAAAGAAAAAAAAAAAAGAATGTCTAAGCGTGCAGCAATGTGAAGAAGCCTCCACCCAGTTTTCTGCTTAGATTTCTATCAATGAAGCATACTGTATTCTAAATTCTTTCTTCCCCACTCTTTCTCCTCCACTTTCTCCTGTCTCTTTTTCCTTCCCACTCTCCCTCCTTTTTAAAATGAATCCCTTAGCATCAATATGCTATTTTCCAAAAACCGTTGAGTTATAATTGGTGTCTAGGAAAGTTTCCACAAGAATTTTGTATGACATAATTAAAAGGCAAGCTGCCAATTGAGATTAGAGTCCAAATTTTAGAAGCATCTCCAACTCTTCTTCCAGTCAACCCCACTAGATTTCTAGCTCCTCACAGTAAGCATACATTTTAGAAATTTCTCTTTGTATAAACAAGCATTTCCCTCAGTGTCATACTTGAGCATATTTAGTAGCCAAAAGTGCTCATTAAATATGGATTAAAATGGTGGAATGATCGCTTTAAATATTGAAGTGTAATATTATACTAAGTTTTTATAAAGAAGTTAAATTTGTTTCAAGATGTAGGTAAATAATAAAAATGTATTGAATATTTAGTTAATAAGAGTGCATTATATTCTTGAAACTTACCAAGGGAGTAGATTTGAAGTGCTCTTATCACAGGAAAAGTATCTGAGGTAATGCATATGTACTAGCCTGACTTACCCCATCCACAAGGAAGTATGCATATTTTAAAACAAGGTGTGGTAAATGCTAACTATATGTTATTTCTATTTGTCAATTTAAATGAATGAATAAATAAATGTCTTGGACTAAAGATTGCTTAGTTTATTCATTTCAGAAGGCATTCTAAGTGTGTTCTGGCTATTTGAAAAAACATTTACAATTCAGTTTCTAAGAACTTTTAACCCAGATCTCCTGCCAGTATCAGGGACMCAGTGTATAATAACTATATTTGGTAGTTTTGTAACTTGAGGGTCATCTACTCAGTCTACCTACATCTGAGGCTGTTGGGCATTTGGAAAGAGAGAAAAGGCTCCCAGGTTTCCAAGTCTGCTGCTGAAGGAATTTCTGCCTTGCTGTTGCAGGGAGCAGCAGAAAGACACTGTTCATCCTACCCATGCACCATCCCAAAGTACATCTTCTGTTGGCTTCCTGTCGCTTTCCTTTGCTTAAGCTACCCCTTGAGCCTATGCCATTACATGTACACCCCACCCCATACTATCTTTTCTAATGCAGCTGTGGGTTGATTGAAGTGAAAGGATAACTCTAAGGATAGATGTCAGAGGATATTTTAAAATTCCTAATTGCTCACAAATACGTTTCCCTGAAGCTTCTCTTTTTATCTTTTTTAAGCCTCCACAAACCGGAGGACTGCCCCCAGACTGCAGCAAGTGTTGTCATGGAGACTATGGCTTCCGTGGCTACCAAGGACCCCCTGGGCCCCCAGGCCCTCCAGGCATTCCAGGTAAGGATGAGCAAGATGTGCTGCTCATCTAATTGTAGACTGTACCCTCCCCCCCCCAAAAAAAAAAGCTAAACACTAACCTAAATACTTTCTGGTCATTGGCGTATGATCCAGAGGATAATGCATGGAAAACCCAGAAGAAAGAGTTGGGTTGGGAAGCTGGGTTTATGAGGTTGGCTTAGGTGAAACAGTACAAACTCTGTACTATTTATTTCTCTACACCACTATAAAAATCCAAAAGGCTTTAGACACCCTGGGGTACCAGACTTATTAGGCTGGGAGGCCCTTTGCCAGCATTAAGTATAGAGCTACTAGCTCTTAATTGAGACCTACTTTTAGTGCAGTGTGTTAGTCAGCCTTCTGTTACTTTACAAACAGTTAAGATAATTAACGTATAGAGAGAAAAGATTTATTTTGCCTCATGATTTTAGAAATTTTAGTCCATAATTGAGTGGCCCCGTTGCTTTTGGACATATGGTAAGGTGGGGAGAACGTGATGGAGCAAAGCTGCTCACCTCATGGTGGCCAGGGAATGATAAAGCTGACAAGGAAGAGACCAGGGTCCCACAGACCCCTTCAAGGGCATGCCCCCAGTGACCTACAACCTCCCACTAGACCTCACCTCTTAAGTTTTCTCCACCTCCCAATAGTGCTTCACCTGGGAACAAGTCTTTAAGACCTGTGCCTTTCAGGAAACTTCTCTAAACCATAGAAGCTAGCATATCTGCCACAGCATGCTTTATGCGGTATACTCCACCTAACTTTCAGGAGATTTAGGAACTAGAGGCATGTAGAGAAAAAGGCTCATGGGCCCRAGTTATAGTCACCTCCATCATGGCATCATTCACTGAGCTGCACATCTTTCTAATTCCAATGAGTGCTCCCTCTTCCTGGGTTGATTGAAGTGAAAGGATAACTCTAAGGATAGATGTCAGAGGATATTTTAAAATTCCTAATTGCTCACAAATACGTTTCCCTGAAGCTTCTCTTTTTATCTTTTTTAAGCCTCCACAAACCGGAGGACTGTCCCCAGACTGCAGCAAGTGTTGTCATGGAGACTATTTAGCTATTAGTATATTTTATCCCACACTTGACTTCTGGAAGGATTTTTGGGCTCCAGAACCACATTGTTATATGGGGAAGATTCTAGAACTGTATCAGGTCCCTCTAGACCTGGGGCTCAGCCTTCTGTACTACAGTACTCTGGTTTCTCAGGCTCAAAGGCATTCTAGGACACTGCTAGTACACTGTTGCGGGGTGAGGAGAGGGTGTTCCAGATCCCCTCTGTCAAGGACTCCCAGACCTGCTGTGGGTTTTACTGTCTTCTTCCTCTCCAGTCAGTCCCTGGGRATAGAACCTCCTCTCAGAATTAGGCCAAAGTCCAAGATCCACTTGGCTTTCTCCACCTTATCCCCATTTGTGTTAATAATTTTCAAATATGGTAATGTTTAAATAATTTGGATAGCTTCTCATGTGAACCCATCTTTATAATGGAAAAMCCTTACATTATACTTAAAACCATGATTACTGTTTTGCAACCTATGTCATTGCCTATCAGGGACAGCAGGCAGCAGGGACAGTGATGTGGAGTAAGGAATGTGTGGACCCTTTTGTAATCTTCTCAGATCTAAGTTCTTCTAGCCTTGGGTAAATGTTTCCCACCAGGAAATGGCTTTGTCATTGAACACTTTAGTCCGTAAACAGTCAAAGTTCATCCGTCTGGAAGGATTGCAAGCCTGACACAGTGATACCTGCTTAAAGTAATCACACAAATAAATAGCAAATGGGCCTGCAATTCAGCAAACAWAAAAAATTAAAGAGGAGCTGTAGAAACCATCTCTTAGTGGCAAAGTGAGGCATTGAAATTGCTATCCAATTCTTGCTTTCAAAATTGTTATTATTTTTTGTTTATAGATGAGTTTACTTTCCCCTCAGTTATAAAAGTGATATATGTTCTAGGTACAAAACTTCAGAGAGACAGAAAAATATACAGAATGTTACCAAGTCACTTGTGCTTTATTCAGTCAGAAAAAAAAGTGTAAATATTTTTGCATAATTTATTCTAGTCTTTTTCTTCTATGGACATAATTCGCACATACATATTGTTTGAAACAAAAATAGTATTATACCTTTTTTATTCATTTATGATCTTTTTATTAAAAATGCCTTAAATATCATTATACCATTAATTTTTTCCTTCGAATTTCTTTTTTTAATGACTGTTYAATATCAGGTACYAAAATATTCCATTTTAAAATGTAGTCCTTGTAGTATTGATGGATATCTTGGTGGTTTCTAAAGCTTGCTATTTTAAGTGATAATGTGATGAACCATCTTCTACATGATTTTTCATTCAAGGCTTAAGAAAAACAGATTTTGGYGCCTGACAATATGTAAGGCAGTTTCAAAGCCCAGTAAAAGAGGACCCATTTGATGATACCCCTGGCTGTACTGGGGCTTATTTCAAAAGGTCCCCTTTTACAATAGAGTCTGGATGTTTTTGAAGRAAGGATCTGTTTGTCTAAAAATAAATGGTCAGTATGAGGGAGAGGGTTTCTGCATGTGATGATGTCTGGTTGTYTAAGGAAACCATGGAAACAATGGAAATAATGGAGCCACTGGCCATGAAGGTGCCAAAGGTGAGAAAGGAGACAAAGGTGACCTGGGACCTCGAGGGGAGCGAGGACAGCATGGCCCCAAAGGAGAGAAGGGCTATCCCGGGGTTCCACCAGAACTGCAGGTAACCCACCTTCTGCACATTTCCAGGGGACCAGGCCTGTCTGACCACCAGGACCCAGGTCGGAGGGTTGGAGTGCTTCTTCACCAATCTTGAGTGAATCTAGTCTGAATTTGTTCATCTACATACAGGATGTTTGCTCAAGGCCTATCTGGTCCAAAGGATTTGGGGATCATTCCCAGGGAGGAGAGAAATCCATGAAGAGTGAAATCCAACTTCCTTGTAGAATCCAATACAAAGCAACCCTGAATATAAACTCATCTCCTGTTTTCCAGATGAGAAGATAGGTTAAATAAAAAGAGTTTTAACCTATTTGAATATATGAACTTTTAGACATAAAAGTGGAATGGCTAAATGTATACTTATAATATTATATTTATTGATTTTGCTACATTTACATATTTAAATCACATACATGGATATTAACATATTGTTTTTTTATCAACTCAGATTTTGTAGCTCAGTTTTTTTTTTAAACTTTTCCCATCAGTATCTTCTTTTCACTGGGGACATTTTATTTTTGAGTAATTCATTTATAGTTTTCCAGACCCTATCATGTTCATTTCATTTTCGCATAAAGTTTCTTTAATCCATTTATGAGCTTGTAATTTTCCCAAGCTCAAGTACCAATTGATATATTCTTTGTTTCTCTTTTAAATAATCATTAAAATTCTTGTCAGCAACATCTAAATTCTTAAGTGTGAAGTTATATCATCAAGAAAAATTACTAAGTTAGGGCTTTTTAGCTAATATTTTAAAATTAATTCTTCTAGGGACTTCTGTCAATTAGTTTCTGTTTGTGTTTGTTTTTGTTTTTTGTTTTTTTGGTTAAAGTTTTTTTCTGGTTAATATGTCCTCCCAAAGTGTAATCCGTGGCTTAAGTATTTGGGAAAAAATTCTGTAACATGACAGACTTTTAAAGAACTAGAATGAAAAGCAATTCTTGTATGAAATATCAATTGAGGAACACTTTGCCTTTATTTGGGCATATGTGGAGGTGTCTGACCTTGGATAAGTTACATCCTTTATCTGGGTCTTAGTTTTTCAAGCGTAAAATAAGAGGTCCTACATGTCACTGTAACTACTTTCTGTGTTTTTTTTTTTTTTTTTTTTGGTAACTTTTTAATGAGTGCTGTCTAATAATTACAGCAACATGGGATTCATATGCAGTATAAATTTACTAAATAAATAAATAAAAGGAGAGAACTGCCACCTAGCCAGGTTGAGTTGGTTACTAAGAGGCTATAAATATCTCGAAGCTAGAAACTATAACACACAGTGTATGAATGTTAGATCATAGCTAAGGGGCTTTAATCCATTAAGTCCCAAGTTTTTAATTTTGTGAATATTTAGATGAAATCAACAAAAGTACGTTAAAATAGGTTGGAAGTAATAATATAGAGCTTGTATATATGTTGTTATATTAGTTAACACTAATATAATTACCATATTATAATTGAATCATTACCAAATAATTATATTTAATTATATAGCTATATTATATACTGTATTTAAGTTTTAATAAGTGTTCCACATCTGGGACAATGGACAAGATGGGTTAATGGAGAAAATCTAGGAAATCATTAAATTCTCTCCATCAACTATTTCATCCTAACACCAAAGTGCAGTCTTTTGGAAGAACTACTTTCATGTGTTTTACAGAAGAAGGAAGACTGGTCTTAAGCAAATTGTATAAGAGGGGAATTTTTATTGTTTGAGGACAGAGAATCTTATCAAGTTAAAAAAAATAATTATTAATCTCATGGGCCCTGACACATTTGGACAAAGAATTAGCATTGACTTTCAAATTGTATTCTCCAACAGTCATTTCAAACCAAAAGAATTTCTTGATGGGTGGCATTGTCCTAAGGTTCTTTTAGCTACTAATATTTCGTATTTTGAACTTTAATCTTGTCTCTTAACATGGGCAGTGGCAACAACAGTAATAGCAGTAGGTGGAAGAAGAGGAATAATCATGCCTCATTCTTCACCTAAGTAAGACAGAAATTTAAGGCTCGTTTGACTCAATGACAGGCCAGGTTACTTAGTTACAACTAATAAAGCTAAAATTCAACCTCATATCTTTGGCTGCAAGTAGGTAGTTCTGTTCCTAAACTTATGGTGCCTATTGGTGGCAGGTTAACAAGTTAATTATTTTCACTGATCTTTTACACATTGAGCTGAAGCATTCAAAGTTCCATAAAATATCACACATAAATCATTTGTAACCAGTCCCAGAAATGGTTGCTGGAATTAAATGACTTCTGTGGGTCTCCTAAATCTTAATTTTTTCCTTTAACCTAAATTTTAAAATGTAAAACCATGCCCAGAAAATTTTGATTTTTTATTATTCAGTTTTCTAGCTTATTAAATTATTATTCTATATTTTGAGTAACTGAAAACTTTCTTCCTGCCATTTAAAGATGGTTTATGTAATAACTTTTCATGATTTAAAAAAAATGAGAAACAGCTATGCAAAAAATACAACATGCCCAGAGATGATGACTCCTGACATATAATTTCATAACTTTTTATATCTTACTTAGGCACATTACTTTTAAATATGATAAGAACACAGGGTATTAGTTTATTTCATGAATGGAAATATTTCCTGAACATCTCTTTGTATAAATAAATGCAATTATATATCTTTAAAATGTATCTTTTTCTGAACATTAAATGAATACACGCTCATGCAAAAAATTATAGTTGTATTTAAGAAAGAAAAAAAATTTCCATGAAACTTATGCACAGTGAGCCCTGCCAATAATAATTTTGTAAACATCCTTGCAGATATTTTTCCTCAATTTGCTCACACAGCCACCCTACCTACATACAGGCTTAACAAAGTCTGGTATCAAGTTGTGACCATATTGTGTTGCTTACTTTTAAATTAAATAATATATTAACTACATTGTCTCATTATATATGTACATTTATGTCAACATCAAGGAATATCAAAGAGTTTATTCAAAGAATTTATTTCATAAGAAAATGATAAGTATCTTTTGGAGAAAATTAGTGTAGGCCTAGCAAATTTAAAAGTTGTCTGAATGCAGGATTTCTCAGATCTTTTAATATGCTGATTTGTATTTAATAGGTACAATCTGAGAATTTCATCGAAATTTTCCCACTGTTTAATATTTCAAAAAGTATTTTAAAGATTAATGTTCTTTGAATGGTAGATTCAGAAATGTTGATGTGTATTGTTATTCTAAAGACTGAATAGCATGAAATGTTAGAAATCACCATCATTTATGTATTTATTTCTCCATAGATTGATGCTTAAGTTATAGCCAATCTTGCCCTTGCAAACTATTTTGCAATAAATGTAAACCAAATAAAAGCTTAATTTCTTTAAGAAAAATTGCCTAAGATTTGACCACCARCTTCTTTTTTAGATTGCATTCATGGCTTCTCTGGCCACTCACTTCAGCAATCAGAACAGTGGAATTATCTTCAGCAGTGTTGAGACCAACATTGGAAACTTCTTTGATGTCATGACYGGTAGATTTGGGGCCCCTGTATCAGGTGAGATATAAAAGTAAATGAATAATTGAATTAGTCTAGAAATTAAGAAAGAGAAGGAAGGATAATGGATGGAGAGAGGAAAGAAGGATGAAAGGAAGGGAGGGAAAGAGGGAATGAAGAATGGAAGAGGAGAGAGAAGATGGGAAGAAGGATGGAGGGRAAAAGAGGAAGGAGGGAGGATTGAAGGAAGGAAGGAAGAATGAAGAGGTTGGGAATAAAGAGAGAAAGCCACTAAGACAGTAAAAAATTCTATTCAAGTTAAAACAAGCAGTTTGCATGGGTGTCTTTTTAATTTCAAAGTAAATGAGTTCAATCTCAAGAGACATTTTTTTTTCTTTTTTACAAATGGTGACCACGGTTRTTAAGGTTATTTACCCTGATTTGAACTGGACCAAATAATTGCTACAAGGGTATAGTTACCTTGATTATAAAAAGCCTTAGAACATAATTCTCATAGTTTAAGCATTTTATAACTGTGTCCTCCCTTTTCCACTACCCCAAGTAGTGCCTGATCCAATTTTTTAAATAAAAATTTGGGTAGGTAAGAACATATTTTAAGAGTAGAAACAATTTATGTCAACACACACAAATACATTTTCTCTCCTTTTTACATAAAAGCTAACATACTCTCTATTCTGGCTATTCTCTGCTTTTTAACAACTAGCAATACATTTTAGAAAACTATTCATATCATTACTTCATTCTTTCCTAAAGCCGAATGTGTAAACATGTGTCTAACCATTTGTGTATTGCTGAACATTTGGATTATTTCTAGTCTTTGTTATTAAAAGCAAAGCTTCAGTGAATTAACTTTGACTATACCACTTTATAAGTGAACACATATAGATATGTTTGTAGGCTAAACTACCAAGAATATGATTGCTGGTCAGAGAAGAATTACATCTTTAAGTTCGGCCAATTTTACCAAATCACTCTCTGTAGGGTTGTATTAATATTTTCCTATTGTCAAATAGGAAGGACTTGTTTCTCCATGGTGCCATCAACAAAGTTGCCTTCAAAATGTCTGGACAATCGATGGATTAAAACAAAATTGTTTTAAAAAAATCTTTTAAAAAAATTTTGAAATACTTTAGATTTATAGAAGTTAGAAAAATATTACAAAGTTTTCATATGCTCTTTAATTAGCTTCCCCAAGCATTAACATTTTACATAACCAATGCTCAATGACTAAAATGAAGAAACAGGCCCAGGTATAACACTATGACTAAGTTATAGACTCGATTCAGATTTCAGGACACTTTCCTGATGCCCCAGTTTTTAATTGCTCCCCTTAGCTGCCCATTTGTACCATGAGTTTTTGCATCCTGTTTTATAGCCTTCTTTCACAGTGGCATTCATTTATGTATTTTAAACTCATGGTGAATTATTTAGCTACATTTTTCATTTATTGTATAACAACAACATTTCTTCTTGGTGTTATTCACCCATTGGGGTAATTCTTGATGTTCTTTACCACTTTTTAAAACTAGTTGATAAGAACTGACTGAGTTGGATTTTCCTAGATCAGTAAGAAATATGCAGCTGTTTTTGGAGGAAAGGGAGGTACCCCAGCAGCCCTCTGGGCTGGGGATCTCAATGGCTCCCTCTCCTGCTGCCAGGGGACTACCTAATTCTTTTAAGTATGACTGCTCTGTGTGTTTTTCTTATGTGGCCACATTTCCCCTGCCTCCCCAGACTTCCCCAAGAGGGTTTCTGAAAACAGCCTTGTATTTGCCAGTTCCTTTCCTTTAGGAGCCTTATTTTTGCAGGCAGATTTTGAGATATTATTTTTCTAGCAAAGTTCCCTCAAAACACAATCTTGTGCTTCATCTYAGCTCTGCCCACAGGAGCTTCTTTTCAGTATCTGCACTTCAAAATAGCTCTTCTCTACCAAGGAGTGTATTTTTCCTGGCAGGTTTGAGATCTTCTGTCACCTAGAGCTCCTGCCCAGCCCCCACACTGCCAGCATGTCACTGTCTGCCCTCAATTGCATTTGGCAGCACTTACAGCTATTTTGAAGTTTATTGATTTTTTTTCCCGGTATCCTAGTTTTGCAGAAAATGGCATGTTTTCATTTTCTTGTTGTTCATTTCTTCTTCTTTCTATAGTATCCAGAAGGAAAAGCAAGAAAATCTTGATGAATGCAATGGTCATGTTAGGTTTATCACAAAAACTTGAAATGTGTGCCTTGTCTATTATCCTATGCAGTTTAAGTCAGAAATGAACTAATGTATGAAATGATAGAGCAATTTTTTCTTGTATTTCAGCTGTATGTGATTTTCTGCTCTGAAAGTTTATCCTATAATTTTCCTGTAATGAATTTGTTAAATACTGTCTGTACCAGATTATATGTCCCAGATAATGCCAACAATGGTTCAATTAAGTTCAGTGGCTTTATAATAAAGCCCAAGGATTTAGTATCTTAGAATTTTCTTTGCTCCACATGGTTTTGGCAATAACGTTCACCTTTTGGCTCCCACATTTTATTGTTTAAACCTCATCAAAGGTATTACAAAATGATCTTTTTATCTTTCTCAACTTTGGGAGTGATCAAATAGAGAAGGCTGATTTTGCAATTAGAGAAGGGGCGGGGGAGACAGTCCCTCCTGCCCACCCAAAAAACATGGTGCAAATATATTACCTCTGGTGCCAGAACCTATCCTTGCAGAAAAAGTCACATGGAGATATAAAATATATTCACTTCTGTATTTCCAATTCTAGGGATTTTCATTAGTCACCATCTGGTTTTTCAGTCTGCTCTTTCTCAAATGTTTCTGCAATCTATTTTTTTATAGTACTCATCWTTTTTTAAGAAAGACTAATRTATTTTCCTGTCATTTTGATTCCAACTTTATTTTCTAGAGGCATTAACAATTATCGCTCTGTGTGTGTGTGTGCATGCATGCATACCTAAATGTAAAATGTTAAAAAATGRACACATATAAAAGACTTGAAGTCCTTTAATTTTTACTTATCTTTACTTTTCTTCTGTGAGCCAATCTCTAGGCATACTATTGGTATRGCTGATCTTTATTCCATTTCCTTTGTTCACAGAACATTGGATATGCATTCCTGGCACTAAACATAGCATGACCATATTTCTCTATTGGGTTCTACTTGACTCAGAATCAGATGGATCAACATGGCATACTTACATCTTCTATCTTATTTACATTTTTGTAAAAGAAATAGAACAGTTCAGTGCTATTTTGCTTTTGCTTTTTCAGATGTTTCTAGGGTTTTCCTCTTATAAAGCCACTAGTTAAAAATATTTAACATGGGAATCAATAAAAACTTGATGACTTATATTCATTCACCTTTCCAAAGTGCACTCCCAAATCCAAGACAGTTTTGGAGTGGGAAGATTTTCCTTTTAGCCCATTGGATTTTTCTTTATTATTCAATGAACATATTTTCTATGTTGGGATTTAGAGTATATTAGGTAATACTAAATTGCTTTCCATTCGGATTTCTAGGATCTTGTAAGAAAACACATCTTTAAATACTGTCTGTAACAGATTATATCAGTGCCTAGATAATGCCAACAAGGCTTCAATTAAGTTCAGTGAATTTACAATAAAGCCCAAAGATTTAATAACTTAGAATTTGTTTTGCACATTTTACTGTTTAAACCTCATCAAAGGTATTACAAAATGATTTTTTTWATCTTTTTTCAACTTTGGGAGTAATCAAATAGAGAAGGCTGATTTTGCGATTACAGAAGGGGGAGAAAAGAAAACAATCCCCCTCCACCCAAATTTGGTTTCAACTAAATTATGTTGGTCTTTTTCAAATTAAGATAAGACTTTTGGTAGCAAGGTTGTGTTGGCTAAATAGATATTTAATTTATTTATAATAGGTATTTTTCTATTCATTATACACAAATTCAATGATTTACTGTGAATAACATGAGCAATTACCAGAATAATTTCTGTAGAACTATTAAATATTTATATGATGCTTCAACTATCTTTGTCTAACATTTGGCAAGTACAGTTGTCCTTTGCAATTTCACGCCTAGCTTATTTTCTTAGGTCAAGGAGCAGCATGTGCTCATACTGAGGACTCTCTGTCCCTTACCAATATGAGTCCTGTGTAGATGCTAATAATTTCTTATATAGACATGGCAGGGACTTCACGCTAGGCCTTTTGTCGGGTAACAAAACAGTGTGGTACAATTAGAGTAAGGTAGACTCCTTTCCTTATAGATTTGTAATCTTATTAGAGATACGCAGTGTAAGATTATGCTTTGTAATCTTACTAAGTATATACAACTTTAGAGAAAGTCTCAAAAACATCTAACACACTTTGAAGGTGGGCAGATAAAGGGACATTCATGCAAGTAAAGGTCAAAAGAAGCTACATACTACATATCCTTTGATATATCTCCAAACCATCATTGGGTCCCCCATATTAACATGTTAACATAACCATGGATGACTACCTGCATCTTTCAGGTGTGTATTTCTTCACCTTCAGCATGATGAAGCATGAGGACGTTGAGGAAGTGTATGTGTACCTTATGCACAATGGCAATACCGTCTTCAGCATGTATAGGTGGGTGGCCTTTTCTATTACAGGTCTCATCCAGGCTGCCATAGTTTGCACAAAGGAAGTCCAATAGCAGATAAGCATGTAGAAATCAGTAGAGCCTAATGTGGCCCCTGTCTCAAAAAGAGCTCCTGTGCTCCAATATACGGTCAGATTATTGTTACTATTTGAGAAGAAATAAATCTGATGAATTGAGCATTAGTAGGTTGGTGAGAAATCTTGATGTCATTACTAACAACATTTCCTATAACYAATCATTTGAATTTTTCCTTAACTTTTTAGTTTTTTTCTTTCTCTCTCTTTTTCCTATAGAAAGGAGTTTTTCTTCCTCTTCTTTTCCTTCTTCTTTCTCCTCTTCCTCCTCCTCCTCTGCCTCCTCCTCCACTTCCTCCCTTTCTTCTTTTTCTCCTTCTTCTCTATTTTTTGGGGGGGTGGGTGGTGGTGGTGGTGGTGGTGTTTACCATGGATTGAACTCAGGAGCACTCAACCACTGAGCCACATCCTCAGCCCTATTTTGGATTTTATTTAGAGACGGGTTCTCATTGAATTGATTAGTGCCTCACCATTGCTGAGGCTGGCTTTGAACTTGCAATCCTCTTGCCTCAGCCTCCTGAGTCACTGGGATTACATACTCTCCTGTCCCCTTTTTCAGAGACAGTCCTATTGATGACCCACACTGGCAGGTGGAGAGAGTTGGGAGAAGKTCCCTTTATTTGGACTGTGCTGCTCTTCTGATATTTAGCCCAGCAACCTGGTCCTAGTTATGCTTGGGAGAAAATATTTCCAAAACAAATATACTTTGCTCTGATGTTAGCTTAGTATGTAGGAGAGAGGCAGAGAGCCARCTTGTTTCCTATAGCTAAATAGGCTAAGAGTTATCTATGAAAAACTTCGTGGCTATTATTTATCACATGTTATTTCTGGTGACTTGTGATGATTTCTGTTTCCTTCTGGAGTCTGGCCTGAATGAAAAGATGTATTTGGAGWGCCAAAAGAGGAAAAGATGAGTTAGAGTAGGTGAACTTGCTGYAAGAATTATACTCTGGTCTAAGTCAGAGTATAGTGCCTCAAACATGCTAGAATTCTRTTTTTCTTGATCAGTTCAAGACAGAGGTTCCAGGTTGGAGAGGGAGGAGGRTGGTAGAAAAGGTAGAAGAGGCAACTATGGTTGGGCAAGGTTTTTTCCCCCTTCTGTTTTTTGATGGATTCAGGCTGACAAAAGCAGTYCTTCCATCTATAAAACTGACTTCTAAATTCTCATGGTCATTGTTATGGTCAGAGTCAGAAGGAAGGAAGAACAACAAGCTTGTGGAAATTCTTATGCACAGGGCATTTCTGTTTAGGGAACTTAATCACATTGTTCCTAACCCAACCAATGCAAAGGCAGCAAGGAAATATAATGCAGGTCTTATGGGGAAGGGGAGAGTGAATTTTGCTTAACATCTAGCTTCCTCTGCCCTATGGCTTCCAAATGTCTGCTGAGCCCTTCTTTCTACATGTAGAGTACACATCTCCCCCATCTCTATTCCCCCTAGGGAGAGAACATCAGCCACAGTTCATGCATCAAGCTTCAAGTCCAGAATCTGGCCATGAGCAGTCCTTCTTATCAAGTCCATCCATTAGCTGCTTCTCTCTTTGGCYCCCAATTCTTTCCTCTGGGAGGTTTTCTTTGTCCATTTTTCTTTGGCTACATCTAAAAGATGARTAGGCCTTCTAAGGGATCTTTCACCATCTATGTCCTGGTGGTACAAATCAGAGCTAAATCAAATATCCCAAGCCTGTTTTAGCCATGGCCAGATCTTYGATATTACATTTCTTCAGAAACCTAGAAGACGTTTGCTTTGTTTGCTACCAGTCTGTTACATGTGTTAGAAATCTCACCCAACACACTTTKCTTGACAGGTAGTTTTTCAGCCTATTACTCCTTTGATTACTCTTGCTTCTGTCTTGTTCTCAATTTAATGGCAGTAACCAAGAGGTCTTTTAAACTAATAGATTCGGGTAGAAAGGCAATATTCTCCATCCATCAGGTTATCCCAGCACTGTCTATTTGACTCGATTAAAATTCTTAATGGGAAACACCAACTTGATTCTGCTGTTCCAGGTGTAAAAGCAYTTGACCTTGTCAATCTTGTTAGGCCTCCACTGTCCATACTCTGTTTTAAACATGTCAGTTCTTATCTGAACTCATGTATTGTAGAAACACCTTCTAAAGAAAGGCAGCAAAGAGTGTTTTGGCTTTCTCCAATCATGCCCYTTACTTAGTGAGCAGGCATTAGATATACCTTCCTTGCTGTCTTGTATTTTCCCAAATGTCTTGCCACAGCATGGTATCTATCTCCAKCTTCCCAGTTCACCATGTTTGTCTTCTCCCAGCTCCCTGCCTGAYCATGTATTTTTAGTTGGGTTACAGCAGCACTTCCTTTACTACCAATTTCTGATTAGTTCAAGAAAGTTAGACTGCTCTAACAACAACTCAATGTAATGGCTCAAACAGAACTTTCTTTCCTTTGTTCATCCAGGATAAATATCCAGGATGAGTGTTCCAGCCTGGGGCAAGAACAAAAGAGCTCACTACACCAAGTAGTCTTTAAGAAGCCAGACTTCTACATWTGGCTTCCTTCTAGTCATTGCCACCAATGTTCCAGATAGGCAGAAGGCATAAGGAATAAGAAGGAGTGTTTGTGAGACTTTTATTGGCCCTTACTAGGAGTGTCACATGCCATTTCTGCTCACATACCATAGAAAATTTATCACACAACTATACCCAAATGCATTTGAGAAAGGGAGGCTAGATTTTGGTAAAGAGTTGTCTGTGCACTGCAAAGACTGAGTAGTTTATGCCTCTTTTTCTTTTCAGCTATGAAACAAAGGGGAAATCAGATACATCCAGCAACCATGCTGTRCTGAAGCTGGCCAAAGGGGATGAGGTCTGGCTGAGAATGGGCAACGGTGCCCTTCACGGGGACCACCAGCGTTTCTCCACCTTTGCAGGCTTCCTGCTGTTTGAAACTAAGTAAACAGATGCATAGAACAGCTTTTCTTTGAGAAAGATTTATAACTGAGCTGGAATTGTTATGGGTATAACAAACATTAAAGTTGAGGGTTCTACATGCTGTTTTTTTTAAAAAAAAATGTATTGGTTACACAGCTACACCAACAATMCTGGATGACTCAGGGCTCAGAAGAATACACCACAAAGTAGTCTTCTCAGATGACCCTGATGAATATATTCAGCACTTTTATCACTCTTCCCTAGGCAATTAAGAGGGAATTGTTCATGTTGCAGGTTGGAAATAATTGTCCCCATCAGAGGAATCATTTACAAAGAGTTTGGTGCTCTGTTTTTAGTAGTAGTTTTCAAGAATCCCTGAAATTTCCAGYTCATTATTCTTTGMCAATGATCATGATGTGGCTGGGGCAAGAATAGGAACACTTGAGGACCTAGGTACTAGAAACATTTGGGGGTCCAGTGGGTCAATATTAATGAATAAAGCATAGATTTTTTAATTATTTCCAGATAGCTTTTAGATAATAAATATACAAATAGATTGTAAATATATGTTGCCCAAAAATAATTGGTTCCTTCTGTTTTATAARGTTACATTTGTAATTAAACCCTGATTTCTAATAATTTACACCTAGAAATAGAATTTTCTCTTGATATGAAATTGGGTTTATCRGATTTGGCCTATCAGATTGACTCTTGCTATTGCAATTCTTGKATTGCAATAGATCTTTGCTGAAAAGTCAGCAAAGATGAGCTTAGGTCAATATAGGGCAGATGTTAGTATATGCCTTCTTCTTAATTTGGAAATTACCCAATATATTTATACTTTACACATAATATGTTAAGTTGAAAGAACTATAAACTTTGTTATATACTGTCAAACTAATACACACAAAATATMAAGTTATTTCATTTCATTTGAGTTATACAATAAAATATCCTAACCATTTATTCAACAAAAATGATATGACTTTCTTGATTATCATATTGAATCAATGTTCACAGAACAGTGTGATGTAATAGGGATTACAGGAGGTACTACTTGGGTTTTGCCTAACTCTCTCTACTCCAAAGTCTATTCTCAAAGGATTAGATTTGTCACCAAAACAACATTTATAAGAATATGCTGTAGGTTCTGAAGATGATATCCATAGATAGTACTCCAAATTTGTTTATTTTAGATGAAATATCATTGAAATATGTGTTTAGCCTAATGTTGGATCATATCTAAAGTGCCTGGTGAAATGCCATTTTGGAAAATAGTATATCATGAATTAAGCTTGATGTGGTGCCACCTTAATATATTTTCTATTAAAATTTGAATTTACACAAAGGCTTYTAAACTATGGGTTTCCTGTATTGATTACCCTATAGCYAGAGGCAGAGTATTGAGTGAGCCTGCCCTATTAGTGAACTCAGTGTTATCCATACTCAGTTTAGCCTTTGACCCTATCCTTTTGATGCATAAATGTGTTTAAATTCTTCCCAAATCCACATGTAATGCTCTTTTAAAKCTATATTATTATCTATAATGTGCATAATGTTTTTGTTGTTTTATAAATATGTTTTTCCCCACAGGGCTTTAAGACCATGAGGTTGAGTCTTCCTATGAGCAACTGTCATAAATATTTCATAAAGGTGCATTGCCAATAGATATCTGAAGGTTGCATGTTGACCAAAGAGATYTCATATTTGAACAGTATATACTACCTATGAAATGCCTTACAGGAAGATTTTGACCTGGCTTCAAATATAGAAAAATATAATAGGCATATGTGAAAATAAACAAACCTTTGTTATATGTATTGATTTTTTAATATTTTTAATGAAGTGTTATAGTCATCCAATTGTAAGTAAGGTGGTTAACACAAAGCAAAGAGATATATACGAAAATATCTTAAACTTTGATTCAATAAAACATGATATGACTTCCTCGGTTAGAGTTCACTGAGCAGTTTTGACCTAGTAGGTTTTGTATGAGGTGCCACTTGGTTTTTACCTCACCTTCCCCACACCCAAATCTCTTCTCAAAGGATTAAATTTGTCATATCATGCAGACCTTGTGAAAAGCCATAGAAATCAACGATGAGGGCACAGAGCAGGGTCACCTGTCTCCAAAAAAAACGCACTTGTCATTTATTTCATTGTTAGAACTTTAACTCSGCCACGTATTGATGTTTAGATAAAAGGTGAATATCTCTGAGGGGACTGGATCTTTATCACACCTGGTGATATTCTATATTGTGCCCAAATTTTGATTTTCATCCTGGTAGAAACACTGGTTTGGTTATAGGTAGGTGGAAAACATTTTGGGCTTGCCCATGCTTCCCAGATATGAAGGAAAGTGATTCCCAATGGTGATGGGAGAAGGCCAAAATAATTATGAATGCTTTCACAATTGTACCCATGACCACAAGGGTACAGTAGTAGTCTCTCCTTACCTATGGTTCTGCTTTCTGCCGTTTCAGTTATCTGTGATAAACAGAGGTCCAAAAATATGAAATGGACAATTCCAAAAATAAACCATTCCTAAGTTTTCAATTGGCTGTCATTCTGAGTTCTGAGTAGTATGATAAAGCCTCATGCTGTCCTGCTCCCCCCCGCCCATGACAAGAATCACCGATTTGTCCAGTATATCCACCCCTGCCAGGCCCTCAGCCATCTAGTCACTGCCTCAGTTCACAGATCAGTTTTCACTCGATAGCAGTGCCTGCAATCCAGTACCCCCACCCCGGGTTGGTTTTTTGTTTTGTTTTGTTTTGTTTTTACTTAATAATGACCACAAAGTACACAATCAAAGATGCTGGCAATTCAGATATGCCAAAGAGAAGCCATAAAGTTCTTCCTTTAAGTGAAAAGGTAAAAGTTTTCAACTTCATAAGAAAAAAAAAAAGTCATATTCTGAGATTTCTAAGAGCTACAGTGACAATGAATCTCCTAACCGTGGAATTGTGAAGAAGGAAAAAGAAATCTATGCGAGTTTTGCTGTCATACCTCAAACTACAAAAATAGTTATAGCTCCAGTGAATTTAGTGTTTAGTTAAGAGGGAAAAGGCATTAAATTTGTATGAATGTATGTATAGGRAAAACATAGTATATTTAGGGTAAACCTTGCTGTGGTTTAGACTAACCTATTAAGCCAAGTGCTATTTGATCTTTTGAATATTGAAGGAATTTTACTGAATTTTTTATGAAAAAATTCTAAAGTCACAATAAAATTAAAATAAATTCAAACCAGATAGAATGCACAAATATAAATTCTAAAAGGTGTGATTAAAATTGACAAACATCTACTTAGTGCAAGATATTGTACTATTCCCGGAGTTATTAAGGTATTTAAAGTACAATTTGTACCTCCTGAGTTTTCGACCTAACAGGAGGTAATAGATTAAAGGCAGGTAAGGACACGGATAATATAAAAAGTAAAAAACAGTCATGGAAGGCAAAGGGCCGGGCACTCTCAGAAGTAAAAATCTACATCCAGATGAGAGTGTGAAAGAAACTTGTGGAAAAGATAAGTCTTGCTGCCAGAGACAATTTCTTATTTTGTTATGTTTGGAATGATATCTTCAAAAATATCTTCTTGTCTTCGGATAATTAAAAAAACACTTACTATAGAAAAAATATAAAATACATGTATTTCATATGAAATTTAGTCATCCCATCAAACATTAAATAATATTAACACTTTGAAATACTTATTTTAATATATTTCTTCATATGTTTATTGCTTTTATTTTTAAGCTGGGAATAAAACAAACGGACATTAGATTTTTTACATTTTATACATTTTACATCTTGGTATGGTTTGATCTAGTATGTTAGGAATACTCTCAAGMTCTATTGAGGAACTGGGTGTGGTGGCACATGCCTGTAATCCCAAGGGATCAGCAGGTTGGGACAGAATGCTCACAAGTTTGAGGCTAGCCTCAGCACTTTAGGCTAAGCAACGTAGTGAGACCCTGTCTGAAAGACTAAAACAAAAATRGCTGGAAATGTTACTCGGTGGTAACCACCCCTGGGTTAAATCCCCAGTGTCAAAACAAATAAACAAGAAGAACTATTTAGGATTTGAAAACATAATTTTAATAACTGCATAATTTATTTAACCTTTTTGTTTGGGGAGATTTTTGTTGAACTTCCAGTTTTTTTTAAAAAATATCATTATAAATAAAGTATCATGAACATTCTTTGTTTTTTTTAAAAAAACTACATGTCCATAAAATTATTTCCTATGGTTGAATTTTTAGAATTATTTGGTTAAAAGGTCTAGACAGTTTTAAAGCTATTAGTAATGTCAAATTTAAAAAACAATAACAACATAGACTTAAGTAAGGAAAGGCTAATCCAAAAGAATTATTGCAATAGGGAGAAATTTCTGACTTTGAGATTTGCATCCCAGAGGTCTGGGAGAAATGGACTTTTTTTTTTTTTTTTTTTTACAGGGAGGGGTAAACAAGGCTACAGAGAACCAAGGGCAGGAGAATGGAGTGAGAGGTGACAGCCACGATGGGGCAGTTGACCAGGGGATGCTCTTTCCCCAAGGTTGGTCAAGTCTCCTGAAGAGTCATTCAGCAGATAATGCTTCATGTTTGTGTGCTCAAGGTGGGGCAAACCTTAGGGGAATCAGGGAACAAAAGGTTTTTTAGTTTGATCAAGTCAAGTTTGTCTTTTGACCTGATTGAAAGTTTAACAAACTCTTCCTTAAAGCCAAAGATAGTTGTCACTCTGCCTCTCATTTTAGTTTGTCAACTGTTTGGTGTTACTCACACTAACACTGTGAGTAGAGAAAAAGACCCTCTCCTACTGGTGTAGGGGAGCCACGTTTTAGGCAAGTTACCAATGCCTGTGTCTAAGTTTCTTCATTAGTAAAACTGGATCATCCATTAGCATGTACCTCAAAGGGTTGTTATAAGGTATAAATCAGTTACTGGGTATATTAACTATCTATAAATACTTAACAGATATAGGGAATTAATAGCTCAAAATAACATACACTTATTATTGCACAATGTCTGTGGTAAGGAGTCTAAGTGTTCCTTTGCTGGATCCTTTGTTTCAGAGTATCTCAAAGGGCAGCAAAAAAGATATTGGCCAGAGCTTGGTCATCTAAAAGCTCTTCCGGGAAAAAAATCTGCCCAAGCCCCTTCAGGTTGTTGGCAGAATTCAGAACTCAGTTCCTGGAGGATGGTTATGAAATAGGCTTTCAGGGGAGAGAAGAAAAGATCCTTAAGTAGAGGCAGATCTGGATCTATGAGCATGACCAGTCTTGCTCATGCCTTTAGTTGTGCAAAACTTCCAGGTTATGTTTGTAACAGATCAACTAGAACTAACATGTAATCCAGCCAGGTGCTGTGGCATGTGCCTGTGTTCTCAGTGATTAGGGAGGCTGAGGCAGGAGGATCTCAGTTCCAGGCTAGCCTCAGCAA